AAGTAATTTCAAAGGGAAGGGATGAAATGTTCAAAAGGTTACGTCCAAATTTGCTAAGTTGTAGAGGCGCTAGGCACAAATTGGACAAGGTGCCGCTAAGTAATGATTAAATGAATTTTTTATTGTTATTAATTACGGAAAAAAGGAAAGGAGAAACAGGCCGATTGCCAAAATCCAAAATTCGAAAAGTGTAGGGTGGTGTAGGAGAGGAGCCGAACCTTCTTCGAGATTACGGGCGGCGAGCGGCAACCTGATTGGCTACGAAGATTGCCGAGCATGGCCGAAGGCCTACTCGCCGCTTGGTAGGTGTTGACGGCGGTTTGACAAACAGCAGTTTTTGGTGAAATGTGGTCCGGAATATCTGGGCCAATCTGTTCACTCGAAATTCTGGGAGGGAGGTGTCAAGATGAGGTTATGTTTGATTGTTTGGATCCAGTTCGATACAATCGATACCGACTGTGACGTGGCACTAATAGCGTCCATAGCAAGGTAGACTTATTACACTTGTAAATCTACCTTACTTGATAGTTTCTAATCGCATCAATCCATCTGAAATTTTTTACGGTGGTAGCCGAAATACAATACTCGAATCTATTCCATTCCTAATTCGAAAAGCTACGATAGATTTTAAAGATTTGATCACAATTTACAAATGGCTAAAATCACATGAATTCATATCTCGCGGTCTTTTCAGAGTGCCGTCGCCGGGAGCGCGATCTATCGCAGATTCTCAACTCGTTACAGGGTTGCAATTTTTCATGAAAAATAAAATCTAAATGCAGCTCGAATGATCTGTTATATTGTGCGTGTTACGTACAGGGACGGATTTTGAGGAGGGGGTGGCCACATGGACCACCGCGGCCCATGGCGACAAATCTAAGGAGCGGCAAATTTTGCAAATTATTTAAATGTAGGAATAAAAAAATCGGATTTTGAAAAAAATTACAGGCGAGAAAAGACGACAAAATCTCTCATTTCCTGAGAGTATGGTAATTTATAATTTTGTCGTCTTTCAGTGATACAAAAGACAGCACCTTCAATTAGTCGAGTTAAGAGAAAATCCAAACACGCAATTTGGCCTGGAACTTGGCTTAGAGAGAAATGATGACGAGGACTCTCTGCGAGAACTTGAGATGAAAAGGGAGAAGCCCTCAGCGCGGCGGTCGGCATGTAACACATTTTAGCGCCTACAAGACTGCATGAATACTTCACGCATCGCATCAAACTCAGTACGGTCACTGCGGTCAGCGTGAAACGCATAGGTATCGCCTACAAGACTGCATGGATACTTCACGCATTGCGTCAAACACAGTGGTGCGTTCGGCCTTGTCTCCACGGGACGTTTTCATGGGATTTGTCCCAAGTTTGAATCGCAGGAATGAAACTTCTGGGATTTTTCCCAGTTACCGTCTCCACGGGACGGGGCTCATACAGTCCTGCGACTAGTTTTCGCGGGAAGATAAATTGGTTAAAGTCGAGTATTTAACCGGGATTAAAATAATAATTGCACTCAATTGACAATTAGACACATTATTTTAACTAAACAAACATTAACAATGTAGTAATGAATAAAATATCGCACAGTTCGTTTTCACTTCTTCTTCTTCTCTCAGTGGGTCCTAGGGGTACAAGTACCATACTTGGTACTGGGAAAAATATTGATTAACTCAATATTTTTCCCAACTTCGTAAGTGGAATTTAACGCTGGGACAAATCTCGTGAAACGGCTCGTGGAGACAAGGCCTTCAATTGCGGCTGGCGTGAAACGCATAGCGCCTACAAGACTGTCGGAATACTTTAGGTACGCATTGCGTCAAAAACAATGCGGTCTGCGTGGCAAGGCGGCGGAAGTTAAAATCATTTAAACACACTAATGTTTGCTCTTTCATAATTTTTTCGTTCATCTCTTACAAATGGAAACTCTTGTCCACACAGAGATATAGTTTTACGGAACTTAACTTCCGGCAAAGCTCCGTGAACTATTGCTAATAGTGTTGACAGGGCTTTCCCAAAAAATGTGCCCAACACGAGTAAACGGCGGTCCATGGGCGGCAAGTAGGTAAATCCGGCCCTGGTTATGTCTATCCAGCTCTAGAAAATGTCCCCTCCATTTTGGTTTCAACTTGAGAGCTTTTTTTTTGAGCTTGGTAGTTGATTTCAGAGAAACCAGTGGCACCATCGTGTCTCTTGCAAACTTTTACACAAGAATCAATAGTCAAATCGCAAATTCCTCACACAAGCAACATCTCCGGTTATCGCAGGGTCCGGCCATTAAGTAACAAGTTCTTTTCGCTTTTTTTTCAGCTTCTCACGATGGAAATGGTAATCGCGTCTTCCAGACTACTCTATCCCAGACTCTTTCTGACAACTCACCCGCTC